TCTAATTTCAAAGACAGGAAATGACAGACATTTTACTTAGCAGGTAAGGAAAGGTGGAAAAGTTAGTTTTTAATTTTGACCCTGAAAACGCGCCATAAATAGCAGCTAAGCGAAGATCAGCAAAGTAAGCGTTGGGGCCCGCAAACCTATTACGTATCCTCAAAATCATCTCGGGAGTAAAAGCCCCCCCCTCCACCTCCCCACCCCCTTTTTTTGCAAATAGGTTTTGCAAGTTCCATTTTAGCCGCCTCGAACACATTTCTTACCAATTTAGGATCACAAGAACTTGGAAAGGCCATACAGATTGTGTGCCCAGTTTATGCCATAACAGGCTGACTCAAGGACCCTCAAGCGTGGTGTAGGGGGAATTCTGCTGTAGCAAAATCTCCAAATAAAGAGCTATTGACATCTCGTCAGACGGCAAACAAGCGACTTCTTCAAAGCACAAAGACCATTCTCTAAATTTTTGAAAGGCACTTGAATAACGCGCTGTTGTTGAAGGGCCTTTGCTTTAGTGGCACGCAAGGGAAGACATTCCGCTAACTAGCTTGCGAGGCTCTGGATCTCTTAAGTGCAACCTTTTAAGCAAACGCACATCCACTTTGTAGACTTGAAAAATAACAACAAGAAATGTGAAACAAATAGAAAAAAAAGCTGCAACACGCAAGTAAGAACATAAGGAAGGCCCAGTAGCCTAAACGGTGTATCCAACACACTATATACGGGCAGTCCCGCCAAAGATGACATGGCCCAACGGCCTAAAACAGGTCGAAACAGTGTAATCACCCATGGCCAAAACATGATAAACGGGGAGTCCCTCATCAAAGGACATGGCCAAGTGGCCGGGCGGCATGACTTCTCCATAAACATGTTGTGCTGGACACTGCACTGTACAGCTCCGTCAAGCAACTAAAATTCTCTGAGCCAAAAAGGGAACTATTTTGGCCCCATGGAGATAAACCATGATCTTTATCGTTCTCAACGAAGAGAAATTCAACAACAAACTATCCGAACACCCCCAACCCCC